CATCTCTTCCAGGTGGTGGTCGTGAGCTTCCAGTCCCTCAGTCTGGCTGCTCTCAAGGATGACCGTGTGTCATTGAGGGCCTCTACCTCAAGGCAAATTTCATTTATGTCATGTAGTTTTTTTTTTTTTTTTTTTTTTCTGACAGGCAGAGTGGCACAGTGAGAGAGAGGAGACAGAGAGAGGTCTTCCTTTGGCCGTTGGTTCACTCCTCCAATGCCGCGGCCCGGCGCGCTGCGGCCGCGCACCGCGCTGATCCGATGGCAGGAGCCAGGAGCCAGGTGCTTTTCCTGGTCTCCCATGGGGTGCAGGGCCCAAGCACCTGGGCCATCCTCCACTGCACTCCCTGGCCACAGCAGAGGGCTGGCCTGGAAGAGGGGCAACCGGGACAGAATCCGGCGCCCCGACCGGGACTAGAACCCGGTGTGCCGGCGCCGCTAGGTGGAGGATTAGCCTAGTGAGCCGCGGCGCCGGCTGTCATGTAGTTTAATGACCCATTCAAAACTTGCACTCCACTTTTTGTAAAGACCTATTGAACTTACTTTTTTTTTTTTTTATAAATTACAGAAACTTAATTTTCTTTATGTGAGCCTGTTTATTTTTTTTAAAGATTTTATATTTATTTGCAAGTCAGAGTTACACAGAGAAAGAAGGAGAGAGAGAGAGAGAGAGAGAGAGCAGTCTTCTATCCACTGGTTCACTCCTCAATTGGCCACAGTAGCTGGAGCTGTGCCGATCAGGAGCTTCTTCTTAGTGTCCCACGTGGGTGCAGGGGCCCAAGGACTTGGGCCATCTTTTACTTCTTTCCCAGGCCATAGCAGAGAACTGTATCGGAAGTGAAGCAGCCAGGACTCAAACCGGAGCCCAAATGGGATGCCAGCACTGTAGGCAGTGGCTTTACCCACTACACCACAGCACTGGTCCCTATGTGGGTCTGTTTTAAAACCTCAGTGTCTAGCATTGTACATTGTACATTACAAATGCGTTGTGAAATAGTTGAGTGATTAGATGAAATAATGATGTGGAGTTAAAACTTCTGTAACTCTTTGAGGCAGTTTTTAATTATTTATGCAATTGCATTAGAATTAGTTCAGATTCTTATGCTATCATTGCAGTGGTGTGGCATGCAGAACATTTAGGTCTCTTTAATCCAGTTCTCAACAAGTAGACTGATGTTACTGTGTATTTATACCTACAGTGTGGACCAAGGCATACTAGCAGGACCAACTGTAATTTTTCACAAAAAGTTTACTTTGTAGTCAAACAAAGCCCAATAATGAGATCAGAAAGAACCAAATTGGTCTATAAACTAAAGCAAAGAGCAATTTTAAGATGGAAAATTTCCATACCCTTGACTGTTGGGTTGTGAGAAGGATGCTGTGACTGTTCGAATCCTCCTCTGCGTGGAAACCTGGGTCTTCTGAGGATCCTCCCACCTCTGCCGCTGGCCCACAGCACCACTGAGTGAAAATGGCCATAAACAGCGGCTGGCGGCTTCTTTGACCTACGATAAGCGCTAAGCGGGAAACACGAGGCTTCGATGCAGGAAATCCTACTCAACTCATTTTACCACAGCAAAGGACAATTATTATTAGCACCTAGTACTATTGTTGATATTACTAAGAAAATATAAACTTAACCATTCATCCAAGACATACTTGACTTGCCAGAATGTTTGTGGCACTGAGGACAGTACATAGCCCAGTAGAAGTAATATTTTTAATACAAAGTAGGAAGTGATAATTGAAGTAAGTGAAGTTTTTGAATGAACTGTGAATTAACCCTTCACAGTGGACAGTTTTCAGAGCATTTTGATAGGTGAAATTGTATTTGATCCTCATAAATACCAATTTAGGTGAGACCTAAATTAGTACACTGCCCATTTCACAATATGGAAAAGTAAGTGTATGATAGTGATGCTGAACAAGTTTCATTTTTATGCTGTTCTTTTATCTAGCTTCTTACAGAGGAGTATGAAAAGTATCATAAAAGTATGTCATGCTTAGTGTGTATAGACTGTCCATTTGGAAAGATCTGTGACAGAAGTCAGAAAGGCATGCCTCTTCTAATAGAGTTGCAAAGGATAAGAGATATATTAGAACTTTTTCCCAATTTCTTCTCTGTAGCTGCTATGGTGGTCACTACATATATCTGGCTCTAACGAGACCTGCAGTAAAAGCCCGAGATAAGTGGTATACTTTTTATAAGCACTAGTACAGAGTCCAGTCCATAAATAGCAGTTTTATGATTTGTATGTCATAAATTTGACGGAGTGTAAATGGTCTTGTTAGATAGTATTTTATGCTAAATTGATTTGCTACTGCTTTAAAAATATTTTTCCTTGAATCTATAAAATGTGACATTAAGAGATTAGTAATATACAACAAGAGAAATGCATCATGACCAGGTAAAGTTTATTCCAGGAATGCACTGTGGTTTGACATTAGAAAACCAAGCAGTATAGTTGATCATATCTACCAAAGAAGGAAAACCATATGACCATCTCAGTAATGCAGAAAAAGCATTTAACAAAATTCAGTATCTATTCATGATTAAAAACAAGAAGAAAAAACTAGAAATAGGATGGAACTTCCTTAAACTGAAAAGGATTATCTGTAAAGAAAACTTAGAGCTGGCATCATGCTTGAAGGTAAAAGGCTGATTGCTTTCTCTTCAAACTGGGAACAAGACAAAATTAGTTTATTTTATCCTTGCTGTTCAACATTATGCTAGTAGTGATGACCAGGGAAATAAGAAAAAGAAAATTGTATTCTCATAAGACATATTTGTCTGGTTTGACCAAGAAAATCCCAAAGAATTCATAAGAGAAGCTACAAAAACTGCAAAGTCAGTTTAGCAAGATTACAGGAGATAAGATTAATATAGAAAAATCAGTCTTCACACTTAGGGATTTTTATACCATATTTTCACTCCATTTTTAGGGATTATTTTATGTAATTCCTAGAAACAAATATTCTGGATGACTTTCACTCTTATTCAAACAAAGTACTTTCCTTGAAATCGTCAAAATGTAAAACCAGTACTATTTACAATAGCATTAAAATACATGAAAACTTAGGCATAAATCTGTATAGATCTGTATGTTTTTTTAAAAGCCACAAAACACTAATAAAATAAATCAAGGAAAACCAAAATAAATGGAGTAGAAGACTCAATATTAAGATGTCGGTTCTCCCTAAATTGGCTTGATTCAGAGCAGTCCCAAGTTCCCATCTGGAATTTAGGTGGAAACGGATAAACTGACTCTAAAAGTTATTTGGAAAAAACAATGAAACTAGAATATCTCTAAATTTGATAGATTTGAAGATGCATCTTAACAGACTCCAAGATTACTGTAAAGCAATGGTTATCAACTAGGGAAGGTTTGTGCCCCTACTCTGGGCCCATATGACAGTGCCTGGAGACATTTTTGATTGTCACAACTTTGGGACAGGGAGAGACATGCTAGCATCTGGTAGGTAGAGGCCAGAGGTGCTGCTGACTATCTGCCATGCAAAAACCAGCCCTCACAACACAGTGATCTGGCCCAAGTATCAGTAGTGCCAGTGTGGAGAAGCCCTCGTAAAGCTACAGCAGTAATCAAGACAGTTTGATACTGGCACAAGAATAGACACAATGTCAATGGGACAGAACACACAGTCCAGAAATAGACCACACCCATATATAACCAGTTGGTTTTTGACAAAGTTTCAAAGGCAATTAGATGAAGAAAGGATAGTCTTTCATCAAATTGGGAAGAATCTTCATACTTTATATAAAATAACTCAAAATGGGACATAATCCTAGATATAAAATTTAAAACTTTTGTGAGAAAATCTTTATGAACTTAGGTTACATAAAAATTTCTTAAATAAAACAGAAAGCGCAATCCAGGAAATAAAACTTGATAAACTTCAAAATTAAAAACTTCCTTGCAGAAAACTGGTAAGAAAATCCAGAGACTAGCTATAGACTGAGATAAAATAATTGTGAATCAAATACCTGGTAAAGGACTTTTATCTAAAATATATAAAGAACTCTTAAAATCCAATGATAAGAAATAACCTACTAGAAAAATGAGCAAAGGGTTAGACTAGATACCTCTCCCATGCTATACGTACAAATGACAAATAGGCACATGCAAATTTATGTAGTATCATTAATGACACTCCACTCAGATGGGCTTAAACATAAAGATCTTATTAGGAAATTCCATAGAGAGATTGACATCAATCAATCCAAACCTTTAACAAAATCGTAAGTAATGCATACGACTGGGGCAGAAAGGAGACTGTCCATTCTGTTACTAGGGCAGACAGGCCTCTACGAATGGCCATGAGATGAATGCCACCCCCCAGTAAGCTCCATGCTGCCTGTCTTGTGTCACATGTAACGCAAGCTGGGATCCTAAAAGTCACCCTGATTGGCTACTTGGGTCACATATCCACCCATGATGAAGCATGACGGTGGCCAGGAAATAGTGTCGTGTTGATTGATGTCATTCTGAACCACAGTTCTCAAGCCATTGATAGTATGACCTCCTCCAATGTCTGATGGAGGCAGTTTGAGGTAGACAAGTCTGACGGAAGAAGGAAAGGACACAGGTGATGCAGGCACGAGGTACCTGCCCACTTCACACTGTATTCCTCCAGGATGTTAGGAACTCTGTGTGGCTCAGCATTTTCACTGTTTCTCAGATTGGAGAAAGATGTTTCTAAGTTATTAAAAAAAAAAGAGCTTAGAATCCACATGAAGCTATTAATGTCCGTGTTTGCATGCAAGTAACTATCGCACAGGCCGTGGAACCTTTTTTTGACTTTTTGCTTGCAAGCAGTATTGATAAAATGGCTCCCTACAGAAGGAACTGCTGATGACTTGGTGCACACGAGAAGTTAGTGTCTAAATGTATTTCCTGTTGAGAACTGTTGCTCCTCTCAGTCTCAGCAGTTTTGCGTTCTGTGCGGAGTGCAGTGCCCCTAACATTCCCCTTCCTCCTGGATCAGGATGTGCTGATGGAACTGCTGGAGCAGTGTGCGGACGGGCTGTGGAAGGCCGAACGCTACGAACTCATCGCGGACATCTACAAGCTCATCATCCCCATTTATGAGAAGCGGAGGGATTTTGAGGTAGCTGGCTTTTTGGTTTTTTCCTGTAGATGACGTGTCCCCAGACCTACTAATGTGCAGATAAGCTAGGTTAATGGCGACCACCAGATGCCTCCAGAGAGTCCTCAGGCATCACACTCGCTGGCCCCCACCGCGAGGCGGAGCCCACGCCTCAAGCCTCAAGGGTTCCTGCCCAGGCACTCATTTCCCCTTTTGAAAGGTGGCCGCGGACAGGGCTTTGCAGTCACCAGGCCTCCGTTCCTCAGAACTCTTCGTGGCCCCACCGTCAGGGGTGACCCTTCCACCTTCCCTGGGCTGGGAGGTCGCCCAATTGCTCTTAGCAAATCCAATGGAGCAGGAAAAACAAAGGCTCAAAACGGTTTCAGAGGAAACAGAATCTGTGCCTTTGCTCTGAGTAGTTGAAGGGTCCTCCTGTGTAGGTTTGCTCTTTGTATAGGAAGCATTCATATGCAGTCGTCACAAGTTTGGCAGTCAGTACGATCTCTTAAACTCCAGTTCAAGGAATTTTCACCTGTAACCTTTGGTTGTCATGTTTAAACAGATTCTGCTATTTGTATATAGGAAGAAACCGGTTTTGTTCTGCTTTCCAGAGGCTAGCCCATCTGTATGACACGCTGCACCGGGCCTACAGCAAAGTGACCGAAGTCATGCACTCGGGCCGCAGGCTCCTGGGGACCTACTTCCGGGTGGCCTTCTTCGGACAGGTGCGCCCTTTCTCTGTTCTGTAGGCTGCCCAAGTTCCTTTTTAAATTAGCTTTTTAACTTTGAATGTTCCGTTTTCTATAAGTGCTAATTTGATGAATATGTCATATTTCGTACAATTCTTACCTTCCTTAGTAGTAAACTTTCTGCTTTTTTCTTTCTTCCTGTCTTTTCTTTATTACTTTCTTAAGGCCGCGGTAAGTTCTTCCTCCATGAGACATTCTTAGTGGCATCTTTGGTTCCTCACTGTGGTTTGCAAGTTTCTTTTTCAAGTCTTTATGTGTATCTGTCTAGTCATTACAAACAAACAAAAAAATTAACATTTTATTCCATTTACAGAAATAAATCACCTGTTTCTTTATACGTCTATATTGCATGTTTTAAACCAATATTAAGACTTGCTGGTTTCCTTTGTGCCTGTGCATTTTTATCTTTTGTAATCTCCACAAGTATATTTACCACTGTAATAGTTCAGAAACCCTGTATGGAAGGGGTATTTAAATTTTACTTAAATCTTAACATTCAAATCTCTAACACTATTAAATAGTATAAATTATAATCCATTTGCTTAGGGTATGTGGTTTTTTCGTGAATACTATATAACCTTCAATTTATTCTGTTATTGTCTTTTATAACTTTGTAGCAATACCAGTTTACAGACAGTGAAACAGATGTGGAGGTAATTACAGTAATGCTTAAAAAGCAAGTAACGTAGTGAAATGACTGCCTCTGAACCCCTGGTTTGATGTGGGTGGTTTTTGTTTAATCGTAGCCTGCGTCCTTTTGTATGTACTGTTTTTGCACCATTTTCCTTCTTTTATTTTAGATGAGAACTTTTTTTCCTTAATTTCAGATATTAACCCCAATCTGGACTTTTAAGTTGTGAACCTTTTTCACTTCCCACGCAAGTCTAAGCCTTGTAGTCAAGCATGATTGATGCTAAAACAGATGGTGACTGGTGATAATAAACATACTTTCTGATATTGTGCTATAGGCCTCAGATATGTTTTTCTCATCATAAAAGCGAGTTTACACATTCTGTATGTAACTTGCTGAACCTACCGCAGAACTGAGTGCGTCAGTTCGCGCTGTGATGTCCTGTGTAAATGGGAGAAGGCGTAAGGGCCGCACGTGCGTTTCTGAGGCCTGCCAGTCCCAGGCTGCTGGTCACTGAGAGAGTGCTGCTGCTTGGGAACGTGAAACGGGCTCGACTCCTGTCGTTAGAGTTCACCGAACGACACACTCTTGAGTCGTTTCACTCAACACGTAATGATGGCTTTCTTGAATGAGTTCTCAAGTGTGTGTTTTCCTTTGATATTTGTACCCAGACTTCATGCTGTCATCATCTTCCTTTGTATTCAGAAACCCTGTTGAAGTAGGATTTTGTTTTGGAGTCATTCCTTCCCTCCCCTCTTATAACACAAGAACCCTTCCTGGTGGTAGACTCTGCGCTTCTGTCCGTCTCGGCTCTAACTGTGCTTTGTGTCACAGGGCTTCTTCGAAGATGAAGATGGAAAGGAGTATATTTACAAAGAACCCAAACTCACACCTTTGTCCGAAATTTCTCAGAGACTCCTTAAACTTTACTCAGATAAGTTTGGTTCTGAAAATGTCAAAATGATACAAGATTCTGGCAAGGTATGACTGTGTTTTTATAAGTTTCACAGCAATGTAATATTGTTTTGATTATACATGATGGGTTATATATTATATTCATAAATGTATATAGGAAAAAACGAAGGGTTATTGGCCATGAGAGGCAGGTGGGTGTTTTTCTTCTTAGTCCCTTTTTGTACTTCCCATTACACGTTTGACACCAAGCAAATCTTCACTGCATAATTTTAAAAGCATCTTCTTTCACAAAATTACATCTGATGGCATGCACCATTTCTAGGTATTTAGAAACACCAGAAGAGCAGGGTCCATGGTTCTGACCCATACCGCCCTTCCCCCTGCACTTAGCATAGCGCCTGGCACTTGACTTGACACTGTGTCCCTGATTATTGGTGTGTTATAAATGAATGGATAGATGATGGATGGCCGGCCAGGAATGAACTTGCTACGCCGATGACTGCAGGAAGGAGATCTGCTTTCATCTTAGAGATGTGTCCTCTGGTGTTTTCTTCTTAAGATGACTCATTTTTTCTTATGATTTTATTTTAGTTATTTGAAAGAGTGTTAGAAAGAAAGAAAAAGATCTTCCATCCACTGGTTCACCCTCCAAATGGCCACAATGGCTGGGCCTATGCCAGGCTGAAGACAGGAGCCTGGAACTCTTCCAGGTCTCCCACACGGTGATAGGAGCCCAAATATTTAGGCCATCTTCTGTTGTTTTCCTAAGTACTTTAGCAGGAAGCTGGATTGGAAATGGAGCAGCTGGAATTCAAACCAGTGCTCCATTATGGGATACTAGCATTGCAAGTGGTGGCTTAACCCCCTGAGCCACAAGCTAGCCCCTGAAGACCCTTTCTGGACCTACACCATTGTCCTGGGCAGTCAATTGGCCCACCCACTCCAGGTTGTCTCCCGGAAGTTAGGCATCCCTCTGCTTCCTAAAACTCAGCCAAGATAGAGCTTCTGACCTTTGCCTAAGGATGTTCCTGCTTCTCATCTCACAGCGGTGATAAGCCCTGCCCTGTGTCCCTCTTAGCAGCTGTTCTGGAGCGATCTAGTTCCTTTTCTTTTCCCTTTGAGGCCCCAGTGTCTGTAATCTGTTCCCTGAGGGCTATTGATTTTCTCCAGGGAAGAGTCCCCCAGCCTCCTGCCCAGGAAGGAAGTAGGTAAACATCTGACTACAGTGGAGGAGAAAGGCTGGGAGGTACCACCTTTGGTCTATAGCCTCTCACTCACCTTTCCTTGTTCCGCTCTGTGGCCTTGTCCCTGTTATCTGCTGAGACTTATAGACCCACTTAGACGTTTTCCAGACCAGTTTCTTTTTCTAAGAAACTGGTTTATTTAGAGAAAGAAAGAGAGAGAGATCCTCTATCTGATGGTTCACGCCCCAAACAGCTGGGCTGAACCAAAGCCAGGAGTCAGGATCTTCCTCCAGGTCTTCCCCTGAACATGAGTTCAGGGGCCTAGGCATTTGGGCCATCTCTGCTGCTTTCCCAGGTACATTATCAGGGAGCTGGATCAGAAGTGGAACAGCGGGGACCTGAACTGGCACCCACAGGGGAGGCCGGAGCCATAAGCAGTGGCTTTACCAGCTACGCCACAGTGCTAACCCCTATTTATTTGTTTCAAAGTCAGAGTTACTGATAGAAGGAGAGACAGAGAGAGAGAGAGATCCTCTATCTGCTGGTTCACTCCCCAGATGGCCACAATGGCTGGGACTGAGCCAGGCCAGAGCCAGGAGCTTCATCCAGATCCCATAGAGGGGTGGCAGGGTCCCAAGCACGTGGGCCATTTTCCACTGCTTTTCGCAGGCCATTAACAGGGAGCTGGATTGGAAGTGGAGCAGCTGGGACACAACCTGGTACCCATATGGGATGGCAGCATCGCAGGTGACAGCTTTACCTGCTATGCCGCAGTGCTGGCTCCCAGACCAGTTTCTTTAGAGAACAGTTTCTTCTCTTCTCTGCTCTTTTGTGGGGTGAAGCCTGGAGTTAGCTGCTGCAGATGGAGACTTGGGCTGTTTGCCCTGCCTGCCACTCCTATACCTTTTGTGGTCACCTAATCCTCAGGGCTGCAAGTGCTTCTGAGGGGTGCACTGATGCCTTGGTCACCCCTCCTCAGGAGCATGGGATTAGAACGAACTCTCCCCTGCCGAGTCAGGTAGAACACCTCCGTGCCCCTGGCTTCCAAAAATGCATTAAAGTCTCTCATCCGCTCTTGTCTCTGTCCTCTTCCCAAGGATCTTGCAGATTAATTCCTCACTGTCATTTTAACAGTTTCAAAAAAGGAAAAGGAATCAGTGCACATTGTTGGTTCGTTTTTAAGCAGAGACCTCAACACAACCGTATTCAGACATTCTTACTCCGTAGACCAAATTGCTCAGGTCCAGTTTTCTCTAAGACTGAAACCTTCCTCTGGACCTAATCAGGGCTTTGACATTACAACCTTTCCTCCAGGTTCTCGGCCATTCTCTCCTTTTTACCAAGTGGCCCTTGATGCAGAAGCAGCTGGAAGAGTTCCAGGGCCACCTTCACCGAGAACCCATTCTCCGTTCCTTCTACTAATATGCAGGCAGGTACTTCAGAGAGTTGGTGGAAAAACGGAAATAGAAGACAAGTTCATTTTTGTGCCAAAAAAAAATTGGAACTTGTGCATAGTTTCTTCATGATGCATATTTTCCACAAACTCTTTGAAGACTTCTTGTACTTACAACCTTGAACATGAAGAATAAGGAAATGTTGCTAATAACCAGGAAAGGTTTCATTCCACTGCCTTTAAGTTGTTTCTGCTTGGGGCTGGCGCTGTGGCATAGTGGTTAAGGCCGCTGCCTGCAGTGCCGGCATCCCATATGGGCACCAGTTGGAGTCCCAGCTGCTCCACTTCCAATCCAGCTCTCTACTGTGGCCTGGGAAAGCAGCAGAGGATGGCCCAAGTCCCTGGGCCTCTGCACCCACGTGGGAGACCCAGAAGAAGCTCTTGGCTCCTGGCCAACTGGGGAGTGAACCAGCAGATGGAAGACCTCTCTTTCTCTGCCTCTCCTTCTCTCTCTGTGTAACTCTGACTTTCAAATGAATGGTAAATTTTTAAAAAATAAATAAATAAATAGTTTTTCCTAAAGAAAGCCAAATTGAATAGGTTTGAATACTGTTAAAATGATTGGCCATAGGGCTTTTTCTGAAATGCAAATAATAGCTTTCTGTGGCTTTATGTATTTTCTTAACTTTTAAAATGTACGGCCCTTGCCCATGTGTTTTTCATTTCCCTTCACAAACATCTCTGTCAGGAGAACAGCAAGACCATGACCACCTCCCTTTGTGCCAGTGTAGTTGTCTGTGTTCTTTGCAGTCATTTCTTCTTGTCCCTTTGTGCCACTCTAGAGAGTTAAATACAGATAAACTCCGCAGAATTGGTTTGTTTCTATAATAAGTTAGCTTTTTGTTTCCGATGGGAAATACCTGTGTTTAATGTCCTCCCATGTCACAGAAATTAGGGCATTGCCAATTCTAGCAATGTAGTTTTCAAAGCACTTATATGCTGAGTTAACTAAACTTAACACTGGATTACTTTTAACTTAATTTCTACTTGTATTAAGTTATGTTTAGAATTTTTTTAAATTGTAAGGTATACAGATTTCATGTACTTCGTGTTACCTGTGTTAAATGAACGGATCTGCAGCTCATTGCGTCTAATCTGGTCTGTCTACAGATCACCGATGATGTGAGGGCCCAGCTTTCAATTGTGATTCCTAAAATATTTTTCTCTCTAAGGCAAATACTAAAAGTTGCAGTTTAGGAAACAGAGAAACTCTGACAAGGAGTCATTCAACAGGAAAACTGTCATGGTTTCTTCAAAGAAGTCAGTGCCATAGAATAGTGGGAAATTCTGGATTAAATACAAATAAAGAGACATAACAACTAAATGTAAAGTGTGGTCAGATTATGGTTCAAGTACAGATAGCTGTAAATAACATTGTAGAGACATTTCAGAAAATTATAAAATAAACCAGGTGTTTGTTGATATGAAAGAATCATTGTTGACCTTATGAGACATGGTCATGTTTTATGGTTATGGAGAAGAATGTCCTCATTGTCAGAATAAGCTTGCTGAAGCATCATGATGTATGTGTAACACTAACTGTGCAACAGTGCAACCAAAAAAGTCTGTGTGTCCGTGTGTGGGTGGAGGAAGTGGTGCACATACATACATGTGTGTGTGTGTGTTCCTGTATTGGTATAGCAAAATGTTAATGATCGTTGATCTGCATTGTGGGAATTCCATCTTTTCTGAATTTTTCTAAAGTATTTGTTAATAACAAGTGGGAAAATAGCAGTCTCTAGCGAGATCTGAAAGATTGCTCCCACCCACCTTCAATATCGCTTGTCATTTAAAGGTCAACCCTAAGGATCTGGATTCCAAGTATGCGTATATCCAGGTGACGCATGTGATCCCGTTCTTTGATGAAAAAGAACTGCAAGAGAGGAGAACAGAGTTTGAAAGGTCACACAACATTCGCCGCTTCATGTTCGAGATGCCCTTTACCCAGACCGGGAAAAGGCAGGGTGGGGTCGAAGAGCAGTGCAAGCGGCGCACCATCTTGACAGGTATGGTTCTCGGGAACCGTGGCCAGCGTCAGCCCGACACCGGCCCAGCAGCTCTGGGGGAGGGACCCAGAAACCTCAAGACCTGGAGGAGCCCCTCGGGCTCAGCTAGCCTCCCCACCCCTGTTGCTGTTGATTTCTCAACAACGTTGCAGTGGGTTCGTTTCTGAGAGGAGCAGCGTGGTGGGGGCAAGAGGTGCGGAGTCGCCACACAGAACCCTGGAGTCAGGTGAAAGCAGGCCTGAGGCGAGCAGCCCGCAGACTCGTTTATTTCAGTTGGTACAACATCTTATATAGCCAAGACCAGCCAATCTGGTCAAGGGGTGGTCTATGCCCCAACCAATCACAGCCTGTTGCCAGGCAGTTTCCAAAGCCATCCAATCACAGCCTGTTGCCAGGTGGGTTTCAAAGCCATTCCTGAGTAACTGACGCTTGCTTGCCAGTGGCCACCTTGGCATGACCTTCTCATTCCACCACACCCCCCCATTTCAGGTCAGCATTTACCCAGCGCTTGCTTTGTCAGTTTCTGTTTACACTTTCTTCTTCCACAGACCAGAAGTCCATTTCCAGCGAAAGGTCAGGTACCCTTTTTAGAATCTGAGGGAAGCAGCGGTCCTTACCTGCCCAGAGCCTTTGCACATGGTTCCAAAGATCAAGACCATTTCTTTTATTTATTTATTTATTTTTTATTTGACAGATAGAGTTAGACAGTGAGAGAGAAAGACAGAGAGAAAGGTCTTCCTTTCTGTTGGTTCACCCCCCAAATGGCTGCAACAGCTAGTGCACTGCGCCGATCCGAAGCCAGGAGCCAGGTGCTTCCTCCTGGTGTCCCATGCGGATGCAGGGGCCCAAGTACCTGGGCCATCCTCCACTGCCCTCCCGGGCCACAGCAGAGAGCTGGACTGGAAGAGGAGCAACCGGGACTAGAACCCGGCACCCATACAGGATGCCGGCGCCGCAGGTGGAGGATTAACCAAATGAGCCACGGCACCGGCCCTGATTAAGACCATTTCTGAAACCCATGTGGAACCTTGCACACAGCCCCCTCTTGCCTCCCGGGAAGAAACCCATGTCATGTACATCTGCCCCCAGTTTCCACAGGGACCTGCTCAGGGAAGAAGTAGCCCAGGGGCTGGGTCTCGTCCACCTTGTCCCTGACAGTGGTGGTCAGCCTCAGCTTGAGCACCTCCCTCCCTCCAGTGCATGCAGCTCACTGCGCGGCCTGGCCAGCGGAAGCAGTCGTCATTGATCCTTTTGGTCCTGGTCACCATTGATAGCCCATTCTTAGAAACGCATTTTATATCATTTCCCACTTCCTGAGAAGTGTCGTCACCTTGGTGCTGATTTTTACTTTCTTTAGAGGAACTTGACATGCCCATTCTTAAAGAATCTGCAGCAGAACTGGAATAATCTAAAACCAAACACTTTCTTGACCTAAAATAATTAGTGGGAGCTCTTCGGAATGCCAGGTGTGTCCCTGTCCACCATTTGGGCACAGCGCCCACAGTAGCTTGAGTTAAGTCAACCTAGGAAGGAGAGATGTGGACTTGTAATTAGACATTCGTGTCCTGAGTGAAAGGAGCGCCTGGAAGATGCTGCATTTCGGGTGGTTCTTGGTTCTTGCCAGGGAACTGTGTGCTCTAAATGGGTGATTTGTATGCTGTGTGACTTACATCTCAGCAAAGCTATTACCAAAATCACTCCAAAAACCTCAGTACAGGGGCAGGCTTTTGCCCTAGTGGTAAAGACTCAAGTTGGGATGGCTGCGTCCTGTATCAGAGTGCTGGGTTTGATTCCCAGCTCCTGGTTCCAGCTTCTTCCCACTACAGCCCCTGGTGATGGCTGAAATACTTTTGAGTCCCCACCACCAGTGTGGGAGACCTGGATGGAGTTTCTACCTCTTCACCCGGGCCCCAGCCCAGCCCTAGCATATGATGGCATTTTTCACCTTCCCTTTGAGGGAAATGAGATAGAAGTTTAAAAGAAAGAAAGAAAGCTCTCATACATTCTCAAATAATGCATCCCTGCTCCTGCTTTAGAATAATGAGATAACCTCTGTCAAGCACAAATAGCCTTGTCCTCACACACACAGGCCTCCCCCGCTTATGGAAATGCTGTGTTTTTCTAATGTACTCCTCAGTAGCAAGTTCTTGTTTCTAGATAGATTCATTTTATGGAAATGACCAGCTCAGGCAGCTACAATGACTTCACTTTTGGTTCCTTAGATCAATAATTGTCAAAGGTTGTTCCAGGATCAGCAGCATCAGCAACTCCTAGGAACATGGTAGAAAAGCCAGCGCCCAGGCCCTACCCAGACCTGCTGAATCTGTGTTCAGCAAGACCTCCCATATCAGGTGCTGCGCTCACACTGGAGAGCCGAGGCGTTGGCGAGCCAGCCCTCTGCTGAGTCGAGGGCAGGACTTTCTGTGAGGGTCGCTCTTGAGGCAGCCAGCTGCTTCACTGCAAGGTATGTTCCTGGGCACGTGGCCTCCGGGCCGCCGTTTGCTGCGTTAGATGAGATAAACATGTGAGCAAAGCCCTGACTCAGCCAGAGCCGAGGGGACAATCAGGAACTAAGAGGCGGAGTGCACGCAACGCTGTTGGCTTGAGGAAGAACCACCTTCCCAGCTGTGGGGCTGAGGAGGCTGTGGGAGTGGTGGGAAGCCTTGCCCAGGGCTTCTTGCAGACCCGGTCATGGCCTTGCCCTGGGGCCTGGACAGGCAGCTTAACCTCTCCATGCTTTACTTTCCATCTCATTGTGTGAAGTAGCTTTGTCGATTGTAACCAGAGGGGAAAGAATTTACCTCATTTTGCTGGGTCTCGTCCTCTGTTGAGCTCCTTGGCTTTTAGGGCTAATGAACAAAAGGGGATTATTGTGCAAGGAGTCCCCAGGAAAGGGGAAGTCTGCCCTGAAAGGCCTCAGGATAACAAGATAGGTACTGGCTAGCATAAAGATTTAGAGAAAAGCCTCTAAAAATGCCACTAAAAGCCTGGCCACTCTGTATCAACCGGTAGTTGAAGATAGGCACACTGGAACATTCCGAAGACTTTGAACTTGAGAATTTTCCCTTTGCTCCTTCCCTTAATCCCCTAGGTCTTTCTTCCAGTGTATCGCCTCAGACTATGACTCTCGGCCTTCCAGGTTGTGGCCCCAGACTCCCCACCCTCTGGCCGGGCAAAGGCTCACCCTCCTGCATAGTTCCCAGCCAGCTCCCTGCAGCTGTGTCATCATTTGGAAACCCCTTTTTTTTCCTGGGACTCCTGCTGCGGAGTTTCTTCCCATCCATGTTCCAAGGTCTTCCAAGTCATGCCCAGATTCCTACTCAGGTGGGGACTACCCTCCTGCCCTCCACCTCCTATTCAACTGAGCAACCCACACAGTCACCACACTTACTTTTTTTTTTTTGGACAGGCAGAGTTAGAGAGAGAGACAGAAAGGTCTTCCTTCCATTGGTTCACCCCCCAAATGGCCGCTATGGCTGGCGCTACACCAATCCGAAGCCAGGAGCCAGGTGCTTCCTCCTGGTCTCCCATGTGGGTACAGGGCCCAAGCACTTGAGCCATCCTCCACTGCCTTCCTGGGCCACAGCAGAGAACTGGACTGGAAGAGGAGCAGCCGGGACAGAATCTGGCACCCCAACCGGGACTAGAACCCAGGGTGCCGGCGCTGCAAGGTGGAGGATTAGCCTAGTGAGCCGCGGCGCCGGCCCACCACACTTACTAGCTGTGACTTGCCCCAGAGAGGGCCACAGACTTGGTGGGCCTTGTAAGACTAAAGCTTGCTCAGTCAGATACCTCACCATCTGCCTTCCAGAGCCCATTGGCTCTCATGAAGCTGGTCGAGCAGAAATGCCTTCAATAAAACATAGAGCACTGGCAGTGTCCAGTGTTGCACACTCACAGAGCAAAGATCGGTGGCCTTGAGCAGATTCCATCCCACCAGAGGAGGCAGACGACAGGCAGGCAGCACACCACGTGAGCGATGCCTGTGTTGGAAGGGAACACGTGTTCTAGACAAGAGCACAGAGAGGAGGGACTTGCCTCAGGGTGGACATCGCCAGTTTGAGCCAGACACTGGGGGGCACCTGAACTCTGTCTCACAGGAGCGGTTTCAATTTTGTCACTGAAAATCCTCTCGCTGGCCACTTAGTTAATTAGTAAAGAATTCAAACATAATCACTCCCATCATACTTTTGCTTATTAATAAGATAAACTTGTGTCTATCTGCATGTCAGTAAATATACATATATTAAATGATATATTCAAGTATCTTATTGTGATAAATGAAAATGATATTAGCTATTTCTTGTTGAAAAATCTAGGGAAAACTAAGTATTTTACTTATATTGCTTATCCATTCCAAGCTTCAAAATACCTTTATTGTTACTGCAGCTCCAACAGCTTGAAATGAAGTGATTAATGAAGTGCTCTGTTTAGAAGTATATTCTGCTTTGTTATTCATCATTGACTTCGCAGATTTGTGCATGTTTAACCTAAGATTCAAAGTTGTTCTACGAAGAAAAATGAATTTCCTCTGGGTTATTTTGTGGCACTCTTTTCTGGACTTAATCTGCTATGTAATGTAATGTAATGTCTCAGTATCCTTTAGTCTTTTTTATGCTTTCAAAGCTTTCTTAGACCTCCTAGCTCATCCAGATCTCACAACTTCCTAAGGAAAAATAAGACTTTTATGGATGAGAAAACTGAGCAAGGGATGAGGAAATGATTAGCAGGGTAGGGAACCTTTTTTTCTGCCAAGGACCATTTGGGTAGTTACAACATCATCCACAGAACATATAAAGTTATCAACTTAAAAATTAGCCTGCCGTAGATGTAATGAAGTTCAAGTCCCGCCTGCAGCTGCTCCGCAGGCCGGGTGTTGCCTACCCCTGTTTAGAGACAACCTCTTCACAGTGACAGAATAAGGACCCCACTCTCGACCTGTCATTGAATATACGCGACCGTAAATGAAGACAGGGCCAGCACGTGACTTTGGCACGCTGCGGGCTCCTCATCCACACGGGGGAGTAAGAATCCCTTCCTCCTCAGCGCGGTAGGGACTGCGGGCTGTCGTAATTGTGGCCTTGCCCTCCGCAGCAATCCACTGCTTCCCGTACGTGAAGAAGCGCATCCCCGTCATGTACCAGCACCACACGGACCTGAACCCCATCGAAGTGGCCATCGACGAGATGAGCAAGAAGGTGGCTGAGCTCCGGCAGCTGTGCTCCTCGGCGGAAGTGGATATGATCAAGCTGCAGCTCAAACTGCAGGGCAGCGTGAGCGTGCAGGTGAGCGAGGCCGAGCGAGGCTCGGGCAGCGCGGGGGGCGCACCCCTGTCCTTGTGAAGTTCAAGTGCTTCAGGCCAGCCAGGCCTGCGTGAGCTCCTGGTATTACCATGTGAGCCCCATGACTTTCCTTGAGTTTCCAGGCCGTTACTCCTGCTATCAGAGGGGGGCAGCCCTAGGACCCCTGCCACCCACCTGTGAGGTATCATTCTCATACATCGTCTTCTGGGAGTGAGGGAGTGCCATCCATGCCACCCTGACTCTCAGCTGTTTGGGGAATTCTAGGTGCTAGGCTGAAAACCTGACAATTCTTCCAAATATAAGGAAGTGTGGATGACGGTACATTTCCCTACGAAACTGTTTTCCAGTTTCAATGAAAACTTTATCTGGAAAAAACTTTATCTGTTACACTTTGAGTCTCTTAATGGTGTCTTGTGCCTAACAGAAATTCTTCACGTTGACTTAACCCAATCAGTTTTTCTTTCAAAGGTAACACTGTTGGTGTCCTCTTAAAGAAATCTGTGCCTGTTCCGGGATTTCAAAGGTGTTCTGTGTTTCCCGCTTTGTTCAGCATCTGCATTCAGGTCTGCAGGCCCCACAGAGTTCACTCGTGTGTGTGGAATAGAGTAAGAATCAAGATGCATTTTGCTGGGACCCGTTTGACGGTGTAGCTGATAAAGCTGCCACTTGGGAAACCAGTATCCGTATCGGAATCCCTGGGATTGAGTCCACCCTCTGCTTCTGATCCAGCTTCCTGCTAATGTACCTGTGAAGGCCGCGCAGGAGACCCAGAATGGAGTTCCTGACTCCTGGGCCCTGCCTGGCTGTTGCAGGTGTTTGGGGAGTAATCAGCAGAGAGAAGATCTGCCTCTCCCTCTCCGTCACTCTGCCTTTCAAATAAATACATAAATTTTTAAAAGCTATCAACTTAAAAAATACATATATTTTGTTCATATGGGCACCCAAGTAATGCAACATTTATATCTGATCTAGGTACTGATTAAGAAACATGTTCAGTTTGTGAGACTTGATCAGTCTGTGTGCTTATGATAAATGCAGTTTTCTCTTTGCGTATTTTACTTCAGGAAGAGATTTTTAAAAATTATCACTTGTGTGTTTTCCTAGGTGATTGGTTAGTGTTAAATCACCTCCCTCCTATGACCAACATGTCTCTTGCTTTATCAATATTTTGTATTGAAATTTATTTTATTTATTTGAAAGGCAGAGTTACAGAGAGAGAGAGAGATCTTCCATCTACTGCTTCAATCCTCCAAATGGCTGCAACAGCTGTAGCTGAGCCAGGCCAAAGCTAGGAGCCAGGAGCTTCTTTTGGGTCTGATGGGTACAGTAGCCCAATTACTTGGGCCATCCTCTGCTAATTCCCCAGGCACATTAGCAGGGAGCTGGATTGGAAGTGGGCAGCCAGGACTCGTCCTAGCATCCATATAGGATACTGATGTTGGAGGCAGCAGCTTTACCTGCTATGCCATGACATCAGCCCCTTTATCAAAGTTCTTAAATACCTATAAGTAATTCAAATATTTTTTTCTATGGAGATAAATAGAGGAATGGATATATATATATATATATATATAAAATACACACATACACACACACACACATATATCCCTGTGTACTGTTGTTTTGTTTTCTGTTGCAAGAAAGGTGTGTTTATATTCCATGTAGATTGTAATACATGTTCTGGGTTTTTTGGTTCATTTCCTGAAAGCAGTTTTTGTTAGTTTTTCATCAGATCTCCCCTAAAGAAGTATGAGTTGTTACCCAAAATTTTTCTAAGTGTCATTTACCATGAAAGTACTTTCAGATGTTTTCATTCTCTTCTCTTATGGCCTAAAAGACTTAGGTGCCAAAATAAATTAGCAGATGAATATAAGTAGTCCAGCAATGTAAATGATTGCATAATGGGTCAGAGGCCAAAATTTTCTGTAGCTGAAAACAAAACCACTCATGAGGTGGCCTGAGTGCCAAGCAAGGTGGGGCTGGACAGGTTGAGCTTTCTAAAGGGCAGAATATGCCCTGCCATTTGACAGTGACCTTTGAGTTTTATGAAATGCCCAGTCATCTTAAAAAGCAAAAAATTTCTTAATGAAAGAATAAGACCAGTCTATACAAATAGTCTTCAGAGACCACATGGCAAATTCATGCTGTCTTTTAATTCTGTTTTGCAAAAAGCTTTCTGAAGCCCTCACATACTTGTTATGCCCACCAAACAAAGAAATTAGTGTAACAAAGAAGTTGGAATCAGAAGATGTTAACTTTATTATTTTATTTCTATCGTCCTTTTCACCAACAGGCCCACTGGGGGTGCCACATTACAGGGCAGAGCTGTCTGCATGGTTTCTTGGCTCCACACTACAAGATCTTGTTATCTGAGACCTTGTGGAGTCTCATCAGCTTTCTCTTCGCATATTCCTAAAATTGACCATAAAGAGACTGTCCATCATTTGGGTCATGTCAGGTTATTAACATGACTGCCCCACACATGTTTAGTGGAATGCCGAGTCCTGATCTTACAAGTTCATTATCACAGATGGTTAGCTATTGTTCCTGTCTCCCCTGGCCTCAGGTGAATTCTTGTGGCTCAGTCCTCCTACGACTTCTACCCAAGTCCCACACATGATGGCCCTCAGAGCTACAAACAGCACTTGCTGTCCAAGGCCACTAGACCTTGTAGGAAAAATTGCATAATGGCCACATGGTCAAGTCCTTTCCCAGGCTATCTCAGATGTCTGGGACATTCTCCTTATCCAGTGTGTCCAACCTTCATTCTTGCCATATTCCTGTATTTGCTGACTTGTCAGAGACCACTTCTTGGCTAATTGGAAGAAAGGCATTGATGAGTGCTTCTGATCTTTGACTTGTGAGCGTACCTCAAATGGGTTCTATATCCAAGATAGCAAATCAGTTTGCTAATGATTATCTCTACCGTTCAGTGAATAGTTGATTAGCATATATATTTTTCCATTTTTTACTGTTCTAATAACTAAATATCTTAGTAGTTAGAGTCCTTGACATGGAGTTGGAAGACTTAATCTCTGACCTCTAGCTTTTTTGTTTGTTTGTTTCCATTGAAAAGGCTGAAAGAGAGGGAAGGAGGGAGAAAGAGATCGAGAGATCTTCCATCCATTGACTTATGCCCCACGTGCCTGTATGCCCTGGACTGGGCCAGGCTGAGGTCAAGAGCCCAGAACTTAATGCAGGTTTCCCATGTGGGGGACAAGGGCCCACGTACTTGAGTCATCACCTCCTGCCTCCTAGGATGCGTATTAGCAGAAAGCTGGATCAGAAGAGTAGCAGGGACCGAGACCCAGGGACTCTGGCACAGGACGAGGGCTTTCCAAGCAGCATCTTAACCACGGTGCCAAATGCCCACCCCTCATCTCTGACATTTTGCTTATTGGCTATTCACACACGAACAGGACCTTCAGTTTCTCAGCATTGGTTTCTTGAGCCCTGAGGATGAGTGAGATCACCAGTGCAAGTGAGACATATGAGTAACAGCATACATACATCTTCTTTATGGCTTTTTGGGGGGGGATCATGGCTGACTCAGCCAAACAGCTCTTTTAATGCATGCCATCTGAAGCTAAATAAATAAACTAAATACATTTTTTCATAATGTAATTCAGAATCGTTGGTTTTCATCTAGGTCAACGCAGGCCCACTGGCATATGCCCGCGCTTTCTTAGATGACACGAACACAAAAAGATACCCTGACAATAAAGTGAAGTTGCTGAAGGAAGTTTTCAGGTAAAGCACACTGAAAATGTCTCTTTCTTTTCAAAGACTGGCCGTTTCTAGGTTCATTCAGGAAAAAGATTCTACCAGTCAGACTCCCACTTTGTCCTCTGATTGTCATTATTTCCCCTTCTCACCCCACTCAGGCAATTTGTGGAAGCTTGTGGGCAGGCCTTGGCGGTAAATGAACGTCTGATTAAAGAGGACCAGTTAGAGTACCAGGAAGAAATGAAGGCCAACTACAGGGAAATGGCGAAGGAGCTTTCTGAGATCATGCGTGAGCAGGTAAGAGCCGCGCTGGCGCTGGCGGCTGGCCGTGCTCGCCTAGGGAATGTGCATTAGTTGAGGGTCTCAGGCACACTCTGTGTTGAGCTAAGCCTCCTGGTGTCTTCCCAGAACCTTGGAGTGCGAGGGAGGACAGTGTAGCCTAGCAGTCCCACTGCATCCTGTGTCTCGAACAGGTTGCCTGTAACCATCTGAAGCACCAGGGGAGAGCAGCGCTCGTCTCTTCATTGTTCTCAGCGGTGGCTGCGTTTCCCAAGCTTTGACTCTCCCCACCCCCATCTAAAACAAAATCAAAAGAAACAAAACCTCGTGCCCCACAAGCAGACATTATGTATACTGTTCTTACAGCTTTTACACTCAGGCTCGGTCCTTTGAAAAAAGGGCCTTCCCTGCCTGCTTCAAGGAGGTGTCTGTTGTATGGAATGCCTTTTGCTTGTGTAAATATGTAGAATTCCTCAGCTCTAGCCATCTACAGCGGGCCTGTGTGCCCTGACTGCTTTCTCTGTGTTCCTTGTCATTAGGGCATCTTCCCTGATGCCTTTGGTACCGTCTCCTCCCCATGTGAATGTCTTCAGTGGGATTCTTGGAGTAGGCTCAGCTGCCATCAGAAGAGGCAGTTGGCCACGTTGCCATGAGTGCTTTTTGAAGAGGGCATTCTCCACAAACCCTGAAGTCTTCATACAATCACTGTCCTGCTCTTTGTGATTAACATTGGCCCCCTTATAACATGCACCTGGTCTTATCTGCTCCTTACATTATTATCTTTCTGCCTTACAAAAGCCAGAGCCATTTGCGTCAGTTACCCTATCATGTGCTGGTTTGGTTGGGGCATTTCTGTTGTAAGAAATGAATCTCAGTGGTTGAGCTGTGACTAACTTGCACTTTTTTCCTTTCCATGCTAACACATTCAGATGGGATGGTAATGTCATGTTTTGATTCTATTTTTCTGATTAAACTGAGTCACATAAAGTTGTGACTGAGCAACTGTAGATATTGGTGTCATGACAGTGCATGTACCAAGGAAAGCAACCCTCTCCTGGACATTTAAAAAGTAGAAAAAAATTAGAAAAGATGAAAGAAATAAGTGTGTGAATTACTAAGCAGAAGGAGGAAGGGAGGTCTCTTGGAAACAAATTTTCATAAAAGCTGAAGATGTTTTCCATGGAGCTTCCAGATTGTAAACACAGAGCTTGATCACTGGGATCCAGCGTTCAGCCCTGGAAAAGATGAGAATAGGAACAAATTATGGGCTGAAACTGTTAAACTCTGAGATTGTATGGACATCTAATGCAGCACTTTGCTCTCAACTGAACCTTGATCTCATTACGCCAGCAGCTCTGGAGCTCAAACCCCCTTAAACCTTTAAACAAAGAAGTAGGCTTGCTTTACTGTTTCCAGAGGAGCCTCTGCCTGGGGAAGTTCTGAGTCTCCACTGGCTAGAGGTCCAGTCTTTTAGCCGGATTCCTTCCAGGCCCCGCTGGAAGTGAAAAGCACTTGTTCAGGGCCAGAGGGTAGCCACTCTCTCTCTCCTGGGGTGGAAATCTGTATGAGGCTGAGAGAAGGATCCAACAGAGAAACAGAGATGCTCCAAGTGCATTTAAAAAGGCTTTTTCAAGGGACAGGACTGGGTCATGTGCCAGTCAAGTGTGTGTAAGGTAAACCTCAACTCGCCTTAAGATCTGGTGAGTCCAGAAGCCTCTCCATTTTTCTTATAAATGAAACAAGCCATGCCGTTCTTGACTTTCTCCTGGCTGTCCTGATCTGAAAACATTCCTTTACTAGATGAGCTGAAACAGTCTGTCTACAAACCACCAAAGCCAAGCTGTCCAAGGGCACCCCTATTCACAGTTGCGGACGACCCGTTGTGTGTGTTGTGTGAAGCACACCACTTTGAGAAATGTTTGCTTGGAGCCTTACTCTCTGACGATGTTGTGTTTCTGTGCCTCAAGATCTGCCCCCTGGAGGAGAAGACGAGCGTCCTGCCGAACTCACTCCACATCTTCAATGCCATCAGCGGAACGCCAACAAGCACAATGGTTCACGGGCTGACCAGCTCGTCCTCAGTTGTGTGATCACGCCTCGTGGACCGCATTGGGGACTTACTTTGTTACTGACAAACTCAGGATGATTTCCAAAGCTAATCGCTGGGGACACCGAGCACAGGGAGAAGCCATGGGGACTGGGAGCGAAAGGGAATGAAGGACTGTGGTATTTCTAGTAGCTTTTCTATGGGAGTCAGAAGAAAGGATTACGTATTTTTTTAAATCTCACCGGCAATATTAAAAGTTTTCGTTGTGTCTTGACAGCAGTGTGTGGTGGACGCTGTGAAGCTGGAGTTAACTTTTACTCTTCCTTCCAGAGCAGTTGACAGTGAAGGACCCGGAGTAGAAGTGTTCGTGGGCGCCGGTTAGCGGCAGCAGCCCTGAGAGTGAGGAGGGGGAGGTTTGCCACTTAGCTAAGCTCAAGAATCTTGAAAATATTTTTTTTCTGGTGGCACATTCAGGTTGAATATAAGAACTATTTTTGTGACTAGTTTTTGATGACCTAAAGGAACTGACCGTTGTAATTTTTGTACCGGTGAACCAGGAGATTTAGTGCTTTTATATGCATTCCCTTGCATTTAAAAAATAAGAAAGCTTAAGGAATTATATGGGCTTAAAACTAGTCAACCAGTTTAGAACCAAAGGCCTATATTAAAAAACACAATGTAACTGAAAAGTAAAAAGTAGTATATTGCTATGTACATAGAGTTTGTTAATACAGTCTCAGCATCTGTACATACATGTATTACATTTCTACATTTTTAATACTCACATCAGCTTCTGCATTAAGTTTAATTGTGACAGACTTGTGCTGGTCTTAGTATATGCAATAAACTTTTCTGTTTTATTCTTGTACATAAAAAAGTGCAATATGGAGATGTATACAGTCTTTGCTATATTAGGGTTATAAACTGTTTTAAAATCTTCATCCTTTTGCCAAAATGGTGGAGTATGTAATTGATAAAGCATAAATCCTGTGGTGAATGGTGGTATAATTTAAAGCTTTCACCATGTTATATTTTCTTTTAAGACCTTAATTTAGTAATTTTATATTTGGGGGAAGAAAGGTTTTTAATTTTATTTAACTGGAATCACTGCCCTGCTGTAATGAAACATTCTGTACCACATGTGTATTAAAAGTAACACTGCTGATTTCCTGCTGTGGATCTGAGTATTTTTCGTGTGACGTTCCTGGGAAGGACAGAATTCTGAAACGTTTGAGGCTGAAATAACTTGGAAACTGGATTTTCTTTCAAATACTTGGGAGAAAACAAAGAAGGTGGGTAAATGGATAAATAAAACAAGATTGACCAACTGTTGGTAACTGTGGAAGCGGAAGTTTGGTGTGTGGGAAGCCGTCGTAACACCAGTTTCTCTGCTTCTGCAGGAGTTTCCGTAGATGTCAAAGGCAGCTCTCGGGTCGTGTCTTTGTTTCAGAGAACTTGAGTGAGTGCTCCGTGGTCTGGCTGTGAATTGGACCAGGTATTCCCAAATACATGTGGATGCTTGATTTATTACCTCCAGCTAAACCAAGGCTGTCATCTTTATCATCTCCCTTGCTTGCTTCTGAGATGAACACTCTGGGATAAGGTGGTCACTTGTCCTAGAGATGCACGGGTGGCCACGTGTGCACACACCCCCTGGAACCCTCCCCTCCACTCCCCACTGAAACACTGAACTGGCCATGCAGTGCCTGGTTTGCAGGTGCTGGTCTTGCCTCTGGTGTGTCCAGTGGGCCCGGCAGGTGAGTTATTTCGTTGTCACTCAGTCGCATCTATGTCCAGTGATGGAAAGAAGAGGAGACTCTACAGGAAATCCATAGCTGGGTTTTCTACTTGAAGAGTTGGAAAGGCTGTCTTGTACACACAGCCAGTTACCAAAAGACAGCTTGTGCAGCTGTGTTCCTCTGGAGCACCCTGGAGCCAAAGATCTGGTGGTGTCCGGAACATTCTCTGTTCATCAGTGGAAAGGAGATCTTGAATGTGGTGAAGGGCCTTGGCAACTCACCAGACTCTGCAGCCCACTCATTAGTCTGTTCAGACTTATGTCTTAGGAGCAGCCCCCGATGCTTGCCCCAAGTCTCTGACGCCCCAGCCCAGTGTAATAAGCCTTGATTCTCACATCATTAGGGGTAGCTTTTGGAGTCTGTCATTGAGCTGGATTTCCTTGTCATAAAGGATCCACTTAGAAGCTATAAAATTCAGCTTACCTTGTAATAAGATAAATAAAGTCTAGAAAGAGTCCACAGTAGGTAAGATTCTATTTGGAACATGGCCAGGCTTCACTTACTACAATATACAAATAGGAAACCATCTCTAAGCCAAGGATATCATTAATGGATCTTGCAAGGAAACACACTTAAAACCTCCTTTGGTTTATGTATAAGATGTCTTTATGTAAAGTTATATGTTAATGTAGTAGTTTCTTGGGGAGGGGGCTGGAGAGATTATTGCTATATTTCTTATTTAAGAAATTTATTAATACATTAGATTCTCAGGGTCACAGCTTATGTATGATAATTACTACAACACAGTTCTCTGCAATTCCCATGTTAATGTGACACTAATACAGAGAACAGATTCAATGTAGTTCAGATACAGTTCTAAGGATATAATGATGCTTCCTCCCCACCTTACCTCCCTCACTCCCTCTCTTCCTTTCTTCTTTTCTTCCTTCCTTCCTTCTTTTCTTTTCTTCTTTTCCTTTCTTTTTTTTAAAGATGTATTTATTTATTTATTTGAAAGACAGAAAGGCAGAGAGAGAGAGAGACAGATATCCCATCCTCTGGTTCACTCCTCAGATGGCTACAACTGCCGGGGCTGAGCTGATCTGAAGCCAGAAGCCAGGAGCTTCTTCTGGGTCTCCCACATAGATTCAGGGGCCCAAGCACTTGGGCCATCTTCTGCTGCTTTCCCAGGCCATAGCAGAGAGATGGTTTGGAAGCGGAGCAGTCAGGACTCAAACCAGCACCCATATGGGATGACAGGCACTGCAGGCAGCAGCCTTACCAACACTATGCCATGGTGCTGGTCCCAATCTTTCTTAATTTTTGTGATAACGTTTTTAGTTTACATTATAGTCTAGGTCTTAATCCTCAGCTAAAGAAAGAACAAGTAAAAAGAAGAAGACCCTAGTTCAGTGGGTATACAGGCAAGGGCAATAGACAATAATCAAATGAGAATATGGAGGCTGGTGCTGTGGCGTAGCGGATAAAGCCACTGCCTGCAGTGCTGGGCACTAGTTCGAGACCTGGCTGCTCTACTTCCAATTGAGTTCTGTGCTATGGCCTGGGAAAGCAGTGGAACGTGGCCCAAGCCCTTGGGCCCCTGCACCCGCATAGAAGACCCAGAGGAAGCTCCTGGCTCCCAGCTTTGGATCAGCCCAGCTCTAGCTGTTGCAGCCATTTGGGGAGTGAACCAGCAGATGAAAGATTAATCTCTCTCTCTCTTTCTCTGTCTCCTTCTCTCTGTAATTCCTTTCAAATAAATAAATCTTTAAAAAAAAGAAAATATGACCATTTCACTCATATAAATTTGAAAATAGTCATCACAGATCATTACAACTATAGCAGTATGTCATTCTTAAACACTGGTTTGATGAAGATATAAAACAAAGTTTGACAATACTTATTTGCAGCAATATTGATACACACAGATACTTTATTTCTATTTTAGTTTTTCTTCTAAATATAAGGGAGAACTTGTGGTGTTTGTCTTTCTCTGCCAATCTTATTCATTCAACATGATGTCCTCCAGTTATATCCATTTGATGCAATTTTATTCTTTTTTGTAGCTGAGTAATATTCCATTGTACACATGTGTGTGGGTTTTCTCTCTTTGTTCATCTGATGACGGACACCTTGGTTGATTCCATATTTTGGATATTGTGCACAGTGCTGCTATACACATGATGGTGCAGGTATCTCCTTGATACAATAATGTATTCATGTCTTCTAGGTATATACCCAGAAGTGGGAGGCTGGATCATATCATATCACAAAACTGTTTCTAGGTTTTTAAAAGAAATCTCCATGCTGTTATCCATAGTGGTTGCACTAATTTACATTCTCACGAACAGTGGATAATAGTTCCCTTTCTCCACATTCTCACCAGCATTTGTTAATCTCTGTCTTCTAAGTAATTAGCCATTCTGGTGGATGAAGGGATATCTCATTGTGGTGTGTGTGTGTGTGTTTTATTTTTTTTTCCTGAGAAAACTTTTATTTAAGGAATACAAACTTCATGCATTTCATAAATACAACTTTAGGAATATAGTGATTCTTCCTCCAAACCTGCCCTCCCATCCCTCTTCCCCCACCTTCTTCTACTCCCATTCTTATTTTTCACTAAGATGTATTTTCAATTAACTTTATATACATACGATTAACTCTATACTAAGTAGAGTTCAACAAATTGTATGAAAAAAAAAAAAAACTTGTTCTTCAGCAGTCAGGACAAGGTCTATTCAAAGTCATTGCCTCTCAAAGTGTTAATTTCACATCTATAGATTACCTTTTAGGTGTTCTATTAGTTATCATACGTCAGGGAAAACATATGGTATTTGTCCTTTGCGGACTGGCTTATTTCACTAAGTATGAGGCTTTCCAGTTTCATCCGTTTTGTTGCAAATGACAGGATTTCATTTTTTACCACTCTATAGTATTTCATGGTGTACATATCCGATAATTTCTTTATCCAGTCTTCAATTCGTGAGCATTTGGGCTGATTCCATGTCTTAGCTATTGTGAATTGAGCTGCGATAAATATGGGTGTTCAGATAACTCTTTGATATGGTGATTTCATTTCTTTTGGGTAAATTCCCAGGAGTGGGATGGCAGGGTCATACAGTAGGTCTATATTCAGATTTCTGAGGTATCTCCATACTGCCTTCCCCAGTGGCTGAACCAGTTTACATTCCCACTAACAGTGGATTAGGATGCCTTTTTCCTCACATCCTCGCCAGCATTTGTTATTTGATTACTGTATGAAAGCCATTCTGACAGAGGTGAGGTGTAACCTCATTGTGGTTTTGATTTGCGTTTGCCTGATGGCTAGTGATCCTGAGCATTTCTTCATGTGTCAGTTGGCCATTTCAATTTCCTCTCTTGAAATATGCCTGGTTAAGTCCTTGACCCATCTCTTAACTGGGTTATTTGTTTTGTTGTTGAGTTTCTTGATCTCTTTACATATTCTGGTAATTAATCCTTTATCAGTTCTCAATTTGATGTAATCTCATTTGTCAATTTTGGCTTTAATTGCCTGTGCCTCTGGAGTTTTTTCCAGGAACTCCTTGCCTATACCAATGTCTTGCAGTTTTCTCCACTGTTCTCTGATGGTATCAGGTTATAGATTTATGTCTTTAATCCATTTTTAGTGGATTTTTTATAAGATGTAAGGTAGGGATCTTGCTTCATACTACTGCATGTGGCAATCCAATTTTCCCAGCACCATTTGTTGAAAAGATTCCTTGTTCAGGGATTGATTTTAGCTCTTTTGTCAAAGATACATTGCTTGTAGGTGTGTGGGTTAATTTTTGGCCTTTCTGTTCTGTTGTATTGGTCTGTCCATCTGTTTTTGTACCAGTGCCAGGCTGTTTTGATTATAACTGCCCTGTAGTATGTCTTGAAATCTAGTATTGTGATGTCTCTAGCTTTGTTTTTGTTGTATAAGAGTGCTTTAGTTATTTGGGGTCTCCTGTGTTTCCATATGAATTTCAGCATCATTTTTTCTATATCTGAGAAGAATGCCCTTGGCATTTTGATTGGTATCACATTGAATCTATAAATTGCTTTCAGTGGTATAGACATTTTGATGATACTGATTCTACCAATCCATGAACATGGTAAATTTTCCTCTTCTTTTTTGTGTTGTCTCTATTCTTCTTAATGTTTTGTAATTCTCATCATAGAGATCTTTGACATCCTTGGTTAAATTTATACCAAGGTATTTGATTTTTATTTTGTAGCTATTGTGAAATGGGATTGATCTTAGAAGTTCTTTCTCTAACATAGGATTGTCTGTGTCTACAAAAGCTATTGATTTTCATGTGTTGATTTTATATCCTGCCACTTTACCAAACTCTTCTATGAGTTCCAATAGTCTCTCAGTGAAGTCTTTTGGATCCCCTGTATATAAAATCATGTACTTTGCTAA